TCTTTCTTTCTTTCTTTCTTTCTTTCTTTCTTTCTTTCTTTCTTTGAGACAAGGTTTCTCTGTGTAGCCCTGGCCATCCTGGAACTCTCCTTGTAGACCAGGCTGGCCTCCAAATTCAGAAATCCACCTGTCTGTGCCTCCTGAGTGCCGGGATTAAAGGCGTGTACCACCACCACCTGGCTTAATTTTCCTCCTCTTCCTGCTCCTTTTTGAATCATATTTTATTTGTGTGTTCATTTGTATAAATGCAGGTTCCTGTGTTCTCCCTGGCTCCACTGTTTAGAAGCTTGGATGGTAGAGCTAGGAGTCTTCATTATTATCAATGATCCTAGAAGACTTTCCTATTAAGACCTAAGGACTACATATCTCCATCCGGTATAACATATTCAGAAGCCCTGAATCACCAGGACCTTATTTGCTGGAGCCTGTCAGCATCTCAGCTCTTCTCCATTCCAGGCACCTCCGTGGTGTGGAGGTAGCCGAGCTGACCCCCATCAGGAAGGGAGCCATAGGCAAGTTTCCTCTGGATGAGGCATTGTGGAATACCTCTGTAATCAGCTAAAGCTAAGCAAATGGAACACTGGGATTTTCTGGGGCTTTTTAGTAGTCAGGCCTGCTCCCACTGTGTGGGCATAGGAGACTCAGTTACTTGTGGATGTTTTATTGTGAACTTTGGTTTGGATACTTTTCCATACTAACAAATAAAACTTAATTTTTAATTAGGTAATGCATAAAAGTTGTATAAAACCCAAAGCTTTTCACACCCCCTTTCCTTACCCTTTTCCTCTCCAGATCAGCACTGTTAACTCCTCTTCTTTAAAAACAAGTACTAGGGTCCTGGGAAGTGTTCACTGGGAAGAGGCTCTTGCCGTGCAAGCAAGCACGAGGGCCTGAGTTTGGAGCCCTGCATCCACAGAACAAATGGCATGTGTGGTAACTGAAGTGCCATGGGGGCAGAGGCAGGAGGATGGTTAGGGCTTGCTGGCTGCCAGCCTCATTCCAGGTTCAGTGAGAGACCCTGTCTCAAGGGAATAAGGTGCAGAATGATAGAACAGGACACCGGATACCCTTGTGCACATGTTCACAGTTACACACACACACACACACACACACACACACATCACATGTGCATACACTGTGCACACATCATTCACAGTAGTCTGTTCCTTGCTTTCTTAGTGTATCTTGTAAACATCTGTTCTTTTAAGCAGTCACAAATTGTTTCATTACTGAGAGTGTTTCATTTAACCACACGCCCATTGTGATGAACATTTAGGCTGTTGGATTTTTTTTTTTTTATAGCCTAGGCTGGCATTGAATTTGTAATGTAGCTGAAAATGACCTTGAGTTACCGATTCTCCTGTCTCTACTTTATAAATGCTGGGATTACAAGTGTACCCCCTTGCCGGGCAGTGGTGGCGCACGCCTTTAATCTCAGCACTTGGGAGGCAGAGGCAGCTGGATTTCTGAGTTTGAGGCCAGCCTGGTCTATAGAGTGAGTTCCAGGATAGCCAGAGCTACACAGAGAAACCCTGTCTCAAAAAACCAAAAAAACAAAAACAAAAACCCAAACAAAAACCAAGTGTACACCTTATGCTCAGTTTTTAAATATGTAAATATGTGTGTGTGTATGTGTGTATATATATATATATATATATATATATATATATATATATATATGCATGTGTGTACATATATTAATAAGCCTGCAGCATTGCTACTTAAATTTTGGTGTATGAGTGTATTAGTATACTTGCAGCATTATTTCTTATAGGTGAAAATCTTTAATTGGCGAGTTGAGAGTTCACATGTTCTATAGGTGTTCCGTAAAGATCTTAGCTCATACTGATACCATGACACCATGGCACCAGAGAGTTGGAACCACATTTTGATATATTTTTTTTTTAATTTACTTTCTTCTGGAAACAGTTTATTTCACAGTTTAATTATGTTTTCTTGGTCTTTTGAGACAAGATACGGTTGATTACAATGTCATTTTATCCTCTCCCAGCTTAGGAACCACATTTTGTACTTGGTAGAAAACTATCAGACTGTGGTGATTGTTGGAGAGACGGGATGTGGGAAGAGCACCCAGATTCCGCAGGTGAGCATTGCTAACGTTGTGCCGCACAGACTGCAGTTTGGAGGACTTTGTACTCGGGGTGGTCTTTCCTGTCATTACTGTGATCAAGGTCTCCTCTCAAGGACTACTCGTCTCAGATATTCTTGTTAAACTTATGAACTTATGATTTTTGTATTAATAATAAAGTTAATAGTTGCTTTCAATTTATTATATTTTCAAAATAGGGAGTCTTTATGCTTAATCTGTCTCTTGGTTCTTCTATCAGATTCGATGTGCTTGTAACTTCCTAACATTATCAAGCCTGAGGTCTGTCATCTGTCAGATAATTTGCCCAGTTATGCCTCAATATACCTGTGTTGTTTCCTTTCTTGGTGACTTAGCACAGTGCAGGGTCACTTGGAGGGAGGGTTGTTTGGAATGATGGCATCAGATAGGAATCCAGCTGTGGTTCTACTTGCAGTACCTGGCAGAAGCTGGCTGGACAGCAGAAGGACGAGTGGTCGGAGTGACCCAGCCTCGCAGAGTAGCTGCTGTGACGGTAAGTTTCTCTGTGTAGCGTAGATTCTGTCTGCCCTTTCTGTTTTCTTGGTCAGTTCCTTCTTATTTCCTGAAATAATACAAAGTAGTAGAAGTTACTCCTTAAGAATTTAGCTTAAGAGAGCTGGGCGGTGGTGGCGCACGCCTTTAATTCCAGCACTTGGGAGGCAGAGGCAGGCGGATTTCTGAGTTTGAGGCCAGCCTGGTCTACAGAGTGAGTTTCAGGACAACCAGGGCTACACAGAGAAACCAAAAAAACCGTGTCTCAAAAAACCAAAAAAAAAAAAAAGGAATTTAGCTTAAGAAGAGCTATGATTGGAAATTTTGCAGAATTGATAGCTGTTGTTATGAACCTTTTAGCAGTAAAGTATTTAGGGAATAAAAGTAAGTATATTTGTTTAAAGCCCATATCTGCCAGCAGAAGCATTGTGGATGCTTGCAAGTGTCACTTCACATTTCTCTCCACGGTAGGGGGGAGTGGTTGGAAAAGTGGCTGCAGGCTGTACAGGAAGGCTTTTCTAAGTGTGGGGTTGTGGTCATGTTTTTGTGTATTAAGTACAGTGAGAGGGAGGGCTGAAACAAGATAGTAAAATAGGGCGCCTCTGGACCTGGAGAAACATTTTTATCACAAGAGAATTTATTAAAGCTTGAAAACAGAAAAAGATGACAGAAAGCCTTCAGAATGTTTTCACAGTGATTTTCCTCTCCTCTCTTCTTTTCTTTGTGAGACAGAGCCTCACATAGCGGAAGCTAGCCTCGAACTCAAAGCAGTCCTTCTGCCTAGCTACCCCGGATACTAGAAGTGGTGGTGTGTGCCTTAAGTGTTAGCACTTAGGAGGCAGAGGCAGGTGGATCACTATGAGTTTCAGGCCAACCTGGTCTACATTGCTAGTTCAAGACCAGCCAAGGATATATAGTGACACCCTGTGTCAAAACCAAAAACAAAACCACTACCAACAGAACCCAAGTGTGAGCTTCTGCACCTGGCCTGTTTTCAAGTCTGTTATGAGAGGAGCCAGACTGTCTGCCTCTCTTCCTTCATCAGTACAGCACCATGATTTTCATTTTAAGATTCATAACATTTTAGAAATTCGATGTTATTAAGATTTTATGTGTTACAATTATTTTATGTGTATGGGTGTGTTGCCTGAGGGAATGTCAATGTACTATGTTCACACAGTGCTCATGAAGGCCAGAAGAAGGCATCAGGTCCCCTGGGACTGAGGCACCATGTGGTAGAGACTTGAACCCAGGTCCTCTGGTTGAGGAGTCAGTACTCTTAACCACTAAGCTGTCTCTCTTGCCCCACATTCAGTAATTAAAAAAAAAAAAAACATGTTTGAGAATGTTTGAATGTGGTCTTAATATACCATTCTTTTCTTTCTTTTCTTTCCTAGTCTCCTTCGCTCCCCCCACCCCCACCCCCAACCTCCTTCTTCTTCGTGGTTTCTGTGCTGCGATAGAGCCCAGGGCCCACTGCGCAAGCGCATGTAGCTCAGCACGCCCAGACCCAGAAGGAGATTCTTGACTCAAATTTTTGTTTCCTGGAATTGCAGACTTTGCTCCTTTGTCTTTTGGTACTGAGGTCCAATAGGGTGCCCCATCTTTCTGGCTGCTTTGTCTACTTGAATGGGTTCCTTTTCAAAATGGTGTGGTTTGTTTTCCTCCAGATGTGGATAAACTCCTAAGTCTCCGGTTTTAGCTCTCTCTGTCCTATTATGGTGTACTGTTTTCTAATTGCTTTCTTTTCTAAGTGCACTGTGTAAGTATATATCCTTTGTTTTGAGTATTGACAGGTGCCCCCCCAGATATACTCTTCTCTAGGACTTCCTGTAAATATACAGTGTTGGTAGTTTCGTTCGTTTGTTTGTTTTAGGGCAATTGGTTAACGCAGAGCCTGGTGCTGCCGGGCCAGTGCTGTAGCAGGCTCCTTCCTACTCCAAGCCCGGTGCTGATTATTTTTAGTCATGCTTATTCCATTTGGTTCCTTTTCATTTTTATCTGAGTCTTTGAATCTTTTTAGTATAGAAGTAAATATTTAGAATGAGAGATTATACAATAGTCACAAATACTAAAAGCGGGTAATGCCATAAACATGAAAAACACCCAGAAAGAGTATGGTTTTATCAGTTAAGTCTGCTGGACAGGCACGTTTGTATAAACTTTCCTCCCTGAGTTTTGGCTGCCTTCCACTGATGGCCCGTGCACACAGCAGTGATTCTCTGTTATTCCTCGTGGGGAAAGAGCAGTCTCTCAGTCTTTTTTCTCTGCATGTGCCCAGCGTGCTTATGTTTTGTTTTTGATGCTAGAAGGTTGTCTTTGGTTTGTAGATGGTTATCAATGACATGGCATAAACGTTTGAGATCATTGCTAATTTTGGACAAACCTCTCATCTTCTTTGTTGTGTGTATGTGAGTCTAGACCACCACTGAAGCCTGGCTCCAGCCTGTGCACCTGAGACTGGCTTCTCCCTGGCTTGCCTGAGACGTTGCTTGATTTAGTTTCAACTTGATGTTGCTTTGACAGTAGCTTTCTGTGGCTGAATGCTGCACCCCCACCTTCTGGCTACTCGAGGCATTTAGACTTTCGTTGTTATCTTTTGAGACAATGTCGTCGTCAAGTAACTCAGGCTGGCCTCATCCCTCTTGATCCCCCTGCTTCTACTTCTGGAGTGCTGGAGTTAGAAGGGGACTTGGCGGGAGGAAGAGAGAGAGACAGAGATACTATAAAAAAATAAATAGGACGCTTGGAATCTGCAGTGAGTTAACTTTTTATGTCACTGAAAGATGACTCAGCTAAAAATTGGAGCCGTTTTCCCTGTGTGTGGTTTGAAATCCCAGCTCTTAATCAGTTTACATTTTAGCTCCAAGTTTGTAGCTACAGAGCGCATCCCGTGCAACTGCAGGCTTTCTCTTGATAGAACAAAGAATGCTTAAATTAACCATGAGCAGTGACATGCTGCAACGTTAAAAAGCTAAGACTCAGATGTGCCATGTGCACAGACTGAGCCCAAGAACGGACTCCAGAAGTTGTGCCAGATCTCTGTGACAGGCAGTTAAGTAAGGAAGGTCACTGGTTTCACCAGTCCAGGTTTAATCCCCAGACCAGGCCCTCCTCCAAGATTTGGGACCATAGAAGCCACGTGTTTGCAGACGTGAGAATATCCTGCTGTATCTCACCCACCATGCTGACAGGATCTCAGGTCCAGCGTGCCAAGGCATAGTGGTTTGCTGACTGAGATCTGTTAAGTTTGATGCACTTGTGGAGAATACAATGTAAGCAGTAGAGGTGAAAGCTTATTAAGCCAACGGAGGGTCAGCAGGATGGCTCGACAGTGAAGGAGCTTGTTGCCAAGTCTGATTATCTGAGTTTGATTTCTAGGAACCGTATGGTCGAGGAAGAGAACTGTCTCCAACAAGTTGTCCTCTGACCCTCACTATACATCTACACATACTTTAAATAAATAAATATAGATAAATAACCAAACAAACAAAGCCAACAGAATACAACGCTGTGTGATTATAAATGGTGAAACAAAAATGGTTGAGAATAAATCTTATATACATAGCTAATGTATCTATATATTTATTTGAAAATGAGAAGCTTGTGCCCATAGCCTAGCCTGGTCTAGAACTGGCAGACTGCCTGCTTCAGCCTCCTGGATGTTGGTATTATAGATGTGTGCCACTACACTTAGTTAAAATTGTATGAACAATTTGTATTATTTTTAGTCGTGTGTCTGTATGTGTGTGTCAGTGAGTGCTGGTGTCCATAGAGGCCAGACACGTTTATCTCCTTGGAGCCAGAGTTAGAGCCACTGAATGTGCTGCTGGAACAGAACTTGGGTCCTCTGCAAGAGCAGGACATGCTCTTAATGACCAAGCCATCTCTCCAGTGCAAACACACAAGCACACATGCACACACCCACGGTTTTTATCTGTGTAGTTATACAGATAGTGAGGTAGCAAGAGTAGAGGAGTTGGGGTTACTTTCCCACCTACAAAATGGTTGTTTTTAATGAGTTGGTTGGTTCGTTTGTTCTCATTTTTCCCAGCCTGTTTCCCTGCAGGCTCCCAGTGTCTCCTCACAGATCCTCTGTGCCTTTTTCTGAAATGTGAAGGGGGGGTTAGTTCAGAACAACCATGGTAGCTAAGCCTCCTGGGAAATGCCAGGCATGGAGAGATACACCCTCCAGAGGCAGAGCCGAGCAGGGTGCGTCTCTGCTTTCATAAGACGTTTTGAAACACCGAGTGGTGTGAACTGGCTGTTGGATGATTGATTCCGTGTGGATCTTGTCAGATCTATAATTTCAAGTCACTGGGTGGGGCTACTTCTGATCTTCATGTGCTTGTCAGTTTCTTACGCATCAATGGCAGGTAGCGCCAGGCCACACTTGGTGGGGACAGCTGAGTTCAGGGAGTCTGTGCTCCTGGGCTGCCTCAGGTCCCTTCTTGGAGCAACTGAATTCCAAACTCAAACTAGAGACTGCGGGGCTTGGGCCTGCTTCCTCCGGCGGGCTATGCTGGGTCCTGGAGCCTCACGGCTTAGCTTTGTTCTTTTCAGTTAGGCTGTGTAAATAGCAAATGTGGAACTTTCTTTGAAAAAACAACCAGTAAGTGTCATTGCCCCTTTACACTGGTTGTGCCCTTGAATCCTCTCCTTTCCAAGTAGCTGGGTTTACAGGCATGAGCTACTGCCTGGCTTTTATTTCAGCTATTTTTTGTTAGTATGTAAACTTTGGACTTTTTGAGATAGTTTATGGATCTAACTTGATGGATTTTTAAACATTTCTCTTCTCTGTCTCTCTCTGTCTCTCTGTCTCTCTGTCTCTGTCTCTGTCTCTCTCTCTCTCTCTCTCTCTCTTTCTCTCTTTCTTTCTCTCTCTGTATGTGTTTGTGTGTGTGTGCACATGCAGGTGTTGAGGCTAAAAGACAACCCCAGGTGTCATTCCTCAGGTGCCATCTTGTCTTTTGGAAACAGGGTCTCTCCTTGGCTTGGAGCTCACTGGGAGGCCAGCCTTAGAAATCTACTGGCCTCCCAATCTGGGATTTTAATATCATGTCTCCACTCCAGGCTTTGTGTGTGGGTGATGGGGGCAAACACCAGGCCATCTCCTCAGCATTCCCTCTCCCCTTTTAAAGATAGTCTTATTGTGTTTCCCAGGCTGGCCTTGAACCTTTGATTCTCTGTCCCCTGCTTCCCAGAGCCTGGGGTTATCAGCATGTGCCACAGTCCTTCCTAAACTGTCCTTTCATTTATAGTGTGCCCAAGGTAGTCCTCATACTCTCGTGCTTTGTCTTCTCCTGTACTCTGTTGTGGTCACGTGGATCCTCCATTTGTCTGTCCTTTTTCAAAACCACGTTCTTGTTTGCATTGGCTTTCAGGAGTGTTGGTAACTGGAACACATTTGAGAATTGAGTTAGGCATTTGGCCTTTGGAATATGTTGGCCTCCAAAGACAGGGTGAACTTGACCCACTTCTCTGTTCAGTCATCCTGTTCCTGCCTTCCTAGGTCAATCTTATTTTAAGGTGTGTGAACATGAAAAGTTACCCATTGCTGTGTGGTCTGGGGTGGTTGAGTGCTCATTGTTTCCTTTCCATCCCCCTTGCTTTGCTTTGGTACCAGATTTAGAGCTGAATCCTCCTTCTCTTCTTCCCTCCCTTCCTCTTCTTTCTCCTCCTTCCTTCTCCTTGTCCTTCCTTTTCCTCCCCTTTATGAGGATCAGAACTCAGACCTTTTGTAAGTGTGGTACTGCCAGGCTGGCTTTAGATTTGAATCTGTGGCTTATCTGAAAAGACTGTAGTGTCTGGAATTTTAATTTTTTATATTGGCTTAGATTCTTTGAATTTTACATAAATTTCTTTGGCTCTCTCTCTTCCTGTCTGTCTGTCTCTTTCTCTTTGTCCCTTTTCCTTTCTTCCTCTGGTGCTAGTCATTTAATCTGGGGTAGGTAAACACTTGACTCCCAAACTACACCCACAGCTCAGTTTCCTCAATATTGATCTGTAAAGTCATTGTGTGATTTTTCTTTTATTTTGTATGCTTTCTGCTTTTTTTTTTTTAATTTTTTTTACATTTTGGGACAGGGTCTCACTGTGTTCCTCTGGCTAGCCTAGGTCTGCTGTATAGACCATTTTGGCTTCAAACTCACAGGCATTTACTACTATGCTTAGCTCTTGTTTACTGTCTTAAGTTGTCCCAAGGCCATGACAGAATGGAGATATGTGTCATTTGATCAGTCAGTATTCACTGCTCTCTAATGACCCGCTTCTTTTATTCTCATTGTTCACATCCTATTTAATGTGAGCTTTAAATTTTCTGTAGTATGTGCTCTGTGCAGTAATTAGTGTGTCTCTATTTTCAGCATGATCTTTCTTCCCAAAGGTTGCAGGCAGAGTAGCCGATGAGAGGGGTGCAGTGCTGGGCCACGAGGTGGGCTACTGTATCCGCTTTGATGACTGCACCGACCCACTGGCAACGAGAATTAAGGTGAAGTGCTGAGAGTGACTTCTAGGGTGGGTAAGGGAGGGGACTACTTGGGAATAAGGTCCCCTCAGGACATTCGTCTTCTGTGAAAATCAGAGTTGTTTGAATGAATCCTTGAGTTTTAGCACAGACAAGAACACAGAAGTAATATTTCTCCCTGATGTATGACTGGGGAGGCCGAGGCTTGTGAGGTCAGTGGCTCACCCTTTATGTGTTCACTGGTGGTGGTGTGAGGATGCAGAGTTCCCTTTTCTTATACACATGCTATAAATACAGAAATAAAGCTGTACAGACAGACACAGGGTGAACTGGTGTAAACTGGGCCAGCGTGGGATTCATTGGGGCTGACTAGTTAGAACTATCTAAGTAATAGATTGCATCTCAGCCATACTTGCCAGAGTGGCTAATAATAAAGTAATTAGCATAGGGTAATTGGTGGTAGTCAGTTCGACAGAGTCTCCTGCTTGCCAGTGTGAACCACTGTTGGATACTGCAGTAGACCAGTGAGCAAGGTGCTCTGATGAAATGGAGCGAGGTCCTTAGACCCAGGCGCCTTCCAGACTGGAACATGGGAACTACAACTGTCCAGACGATCTGAGGGAACACTGTAGCCATTTATAAGAAAATGGACCTTGGTCTAGTTAGGGTTTCTATTGCTGGGATAAAACCGTGACCAAAAGCAATTTGGGGAGAAATGGGTTTGTTTCTGCTTACCGCTTGTAGTCCATCATCCAGGGAAGTCAGGGGAAGCACAAGGCAGAAACTAAAGCAGAGGTCATGGAGGAGTGCTACTTACTGGCTTGCTCAGCCTGCTTTCTTACACACCAAGGATAAAGTGTTTAGAGTGCCAGTGCCCACAGTGAGCTGGGCCCTTCCCCATCAGTCTTCAGTCAAGAAAATGTCCACACGCTTGCCCACTGGCCAACCTGGTGAGGGAATTTTCCCAGTTGAGATTACCCTTCCTAGTAGCAGTGCCAGGGTGATATAAAGCTAACCAACACAGACCTTATTTTCCAAATTTTTGTTTCCCATGTTGTCAGGTAAAGGAAATAGGTGTTTATGCCTTATTTGTATGTAAGCAGTCAACATTGGATGGGAGATTAGTCAGGTGACTCTTTTTGGGTCTGTGAGAAGCTGTCTGTTAAGGCTCATTGTAGAACTTTTCACTTTTGCTTCTGTGGGGCTGACATTTGGTAGCAGGGCCAAGCCAACTATCTTAGAAACACATCCCACTCTTAGAGTCCAAGGGAGATGACACATGCTTAGCCTTGTTAGTGCACTGACTTTGTTTTGGGGGTGAGAATAACAGTACCCACTCGTTACTGCCCATTTCTGAAGTGTTGTATTAGTGTTCATCAGTGAAGTCCTATCATGTCATTTGTTGGGTGAGGACTGAGCTCGGAGATGGTAAGCACTCAGGTTGGGTTTTCACAGCAGGTAGAAGTAGGGCCAGCTAATAGTAAGGACAGGCAGAAACAGCAGCAGCAGAAGCGCTGGCAGGGTGACTCGAGCCCACGCTCTTCTCTGCACCTCTGTTGGTGGAGGTTGAGGTTGAAAGGATGCTGAGGAGTTATCTGAGGCTCACAGCTCATTAACATAGTAAATATGGTGAACAGAGACTCACTGTTGACTATAGACTGATTGCCTGGATGCTCATTAACATTAGCAACTAGGTCAGGCAACACAGAGACGGTGCTGAAAGGTCTGCAGCCCAGTGTGGGATCTGTTTGTTTGTTTGTTTTTGTTTTTTTTGCAAATAGTTCCATTGCTGGTTGAATAAAGCTGCTGGGGTGTATCCTCACTGCTGTCTGGGGTTGTTGTTGCGTGTGAACCGAGATTATACTTGAGCTTGAATCATCAATGTAAATAGATTTCTCTATCTTTGTATTTTTATTTTTTTAGTTCCTTACAGATGGCATGCTGGTCAGAGAAATGATGGTTGATCCATTGTTAACAAAATACAGGTAAGCATGAGTTCCTGGGCCTCCCTAGTGTTTCCACACGCACTTATACACCGAGAGGGGATCGTTAGGGTTAGCAGCTGAGATTTGGGGCAGCTCAGCTCTCCTCAACCGTCTTCTTTGCCATGGTGGCTCTGTCTGCCCTTGGTGGATAGTGGTGCCTCTTATTGGCAGTGGCAGTGAGTACATTAAGTGAGTACATTAAGTAGGCAGACACCAGCATGAACAAACAGGCTCATGCACATCTGTCACTAGAGCACTTGCTGCCTTATCTTTGTCCATCTTGCCTTTGACATGCTCTGGGAATTGCAGTAACTACAGAACCACAGCCCGCAGAGATGTGACTAGCCAGTGTTTGGACCGTCCCACCCCCTTATCATTTTGCAAAGCTGGGGATGGAACTTGGGGTCTCACACATGTTAGGCAAGGGTCCCACTTCTGTCTTCTGGACAGCATTCTGTTGGATGCCATACACAAAGTCCATGTGAGGGCTGAGCTCTTCCTCCTCTCAGTGTCTTTGCCCATCACCGGGAGCACTAGGGTTGCCCCACAGCTTTGGTACTTGAGAGACAATGCCCCGTTCCTCTTCCTCTCCCTGCCCGGCACATGTGTTTCGCAGCTATCTCCTCTGTCTTTGGCTGCTCTTGTGGCTTTAATGTCATTGAGGTGCCTGGGCTTTGTTATTCAGTGTGTTCTGTGGGGTTGTAGATGATACATACCAGTTAGAACCAGCTGTTAAATTCTGCTGGGATCTCGGGTAAGGAGTAAGCTCTTTATAAATACTGTGCTGTCGTTCTCACTAAGGTTGTTGAAATCACGCATCGTCGGCCGAGAATGACTTGAGTTTTCTTTTAATTCGATGTCATTACCTAAGGGCTGAATACCCAGAGGTCTCTTTGATGGCCAGGGTAGAATTGTGTGGAGTGTTCCATGCTCACTGAGCGTGTCTCTCTGAATCTTAGTGTCATCATGCTGGACGAAGCCCACGAGAGGACCTTGTATACGGACATTGCCATTGGCTTGCTGAAGAAGGTATGACTCCAGCATTCTGGTTTCTAAGGTTTTGTAGTATATATGTTTTGACACAGTGAGATTGGATGATATGAGTTAATTTATATCTTACATGTTTAATATTATATCAAGGTGATTCTCTTCACCATGAAATAGTCTTTGAAGACATTATAATTATTATTTTTAAAGATTTTATATTTATTTTGAGATTATGTGTGCGTCTGTTTGTGTACCACATGCATGCAGGTGCCTGCAAAGGCCAGAAGAGGGTATCAGGTCCCCAAGAGCTGGAGTAACACATGGTTGTGAGTTGCCTGAAGTGGGTGCTGGGAGCAGAAGCTCTGTAAGAGCAGCCAGTGCTCTTAACCCCTGAGCCACCTCCCAGCCCCTGAAGACAGTGTTTTGAGAATCTGCGCAATGGCTGCTGGTGTCTGCCACATCCTTGTAGTGTTTGGCATGTGTGTGCCTAGGTGTGTGTCGGGCCTGTGGCAGTGAGCACTCTCTAATTAAATGTGCTGCATTTCTAGTTCTTTTCTCTTTTTAACTCTTCAATATTCAAAAAATATTTCAAACGTACTGAGAGTGGAGGCATCTGTAATGACATACTGAGAGTGGAGGCATCTGTAGTGACCTTGTTGTTCAGTGTCTGGTTTGGCTTCCGCCTCCACTCTCAGTCTGTCCTTTAACGTTATTATTGTGGCTCTTTTTGTTTTGTTTTGTTTTTTTAATTTTTTGTTTTCTCAGCATAAATCCTCAATGACAAGAGCCTAAAAAGAAATTGTAGATGGGGATGACCAAGAACTGTGGCCTTGGGAAGACTGCCTGGGTACAGATTTTGTCTGTCAGATCTATGCATCTCCAAGCCAGTGTCTGTCTGTGTGTCTGTGTGTCTGTGTGAATATAAACCATTAGCCACCTGTGCAAGTTTAGATTTGAATTGTTGAAATGGGGATAAAATAACATTTTGATCTTTGCATTGGCTCTTCATAGCCACATGTGGCCAGTTGCTACTGCCTGGAGAGGGCAGACTAGGAGCTACTTTTTGGGGAGGTCTGCTGGGCAGACCTGTTGGATGTTGTAATTTGTCATAAGACTTAAATAAGGCAACACAGATCTTAGGATGACATCATACATATACCTTTGTACAAATAAAAGGATGCCCCTCTGACTGTGTCTGTCCACAGTGAAGTGAGGGGAAGCTGGGTTAGGTTTCAGGTGCTCGTCACCTCCTCAGCCTTGTGTCTCTGTGTAGTCTACACACTGATGGGCTCTGTATGTCTCCTGAAGCGGTACACAACTAGGAATTTATAAACTGCCTTTGTTGCTATCTTTTTTCATTATCTTTTGGCCAATGATCAGACTTTTTGATGTGTATGAGGAATTTTCTCACTAGACTATCCCTACTAAGGACAGGGAAGTAAGAGAACACTTCTGCCCAGGCTTCACCAGCGTTGAGCATCCTCACACAGCTGCTCCTGAGTGTGGCAGGATGTGCTATGTCCAGTGACCACATTTCCTTGAATAACTGTTAGCATACAAATTACTATCTTGGTGCTACCATTTGTTATTTATGGATCTTAATTTACCTTTTTATATCTCTGAGTGTGAAACATGTGGGAAAAAGGTGTTTATTTTTAATAATTTCAAATTCAGCCCTTAAATTTAGGGTTTAGAGTTAGGCATTGGGTTAGGGTTAGAATTAAAGTTTTAAATTCCCTATATATTTTGCACATTTTTGCTGGGTCATAACTTAGCAAGCTCTGACATTTTAAACACAGGAAGAATTGTCTACGTCACATTGACTCTTGACATCATCAGTTGTAGCATCCCTGTCTCATGAATGAGCCTCCTCTTTGCTTTGAGACAGGATTTCTGTCTAGGCCTGACTGGTCTTGAACTCATGATCCTCCTGCCTCCTACCTGCTGGAATTTACAGGCCTTGTCACCATGCCTGGCTAGGATTGTAGGACTGTACACTGTTCCACTGTCACCGTTAGATTGTAGGACTGTACACTGTTCCACTGTCACCGTTATTTCTCGGTGCCTTCTTTTTCAGATTCAGAAAAAGCGAGGGGATCTTCGCTTGATTGTGGCCTCAGCCACTCTGGATGCAGAGGTAAGGACATCTCTCTCCTGCATAAACACTGGAATTGTCAGATATATCCTTGGGGGTGCACCTCTGGCCAAAGCATGTCTTCTGCAGAACAACCTGCCTCTTTTGGGGCCATGTGGTGCTCTAGATGTCACATGATGCTCCTTCTCAACTGTGAGTGGAAATTAGCCTGTAATTAACCCAGGGAGTTGATGATCCCAGCTTGCCTTGTCTCTGTCTGCTGTCCCCCACCTGACATGGTGTCTCTGTCTCTGTTACCCTTCTGACCTGGGCAGCTTCTTTTTAATTACCTGTCAGTGTGAAGCTATATTTCTTGAATTGATTTATGAAAATTACACACTTATTTTAATTTTTTGGTGTAATTGAAGTTTCTCCTCTAATGTAGTAATTTCCATGTTAAGTGTTTTTTTTTTTTTTTTAATTGGTTTTACTTTTTGTATATGGGGTAGGAAGCACACATGCCATGGCGAAGGTCAGAGGTCAGCTTGGAGGAGTCAGTTCTATCCTTCCTTCACATGGGTTCCCATGATGAAAGTCTTCAGGCTTAGCAGTAGGCATCTTTACCAGCTGAGCTATCTCTTTTGTCCCTATGTTTTTATATGGCTGATTTACTCTCTTGATGACTAATATTTTATTAAAAAAAAAAAAACAGTTCAATTCATCTCATTCTTTTGGCCACTTGCTGTTTAAATATTCCAAATGGTAAGCCTCCTGCTAGCTACAGGTGATCCATAGATCCATAGAAGAAGGCACATAAATAGGTATTTGGTATATTAAGGTGCTGAGGTAACCTAGAAGGCTGCTCTTAACTCTAGCCAGCCAGGAGTGTCAAGAAATTGTCACCAAAGAGATGGCATTTTAGTAGGGTTTGAAATAAAATGCCCCTTTCTTCATGGGCAAAGCAGAATCCCAACCATGAGAGAGCCATAAGGAACCATGAGTTCTACAAGGTACCAGAACATTTTCTGCAAGGCCCCACAGGGGTAATTCATTCCGAGGGGTGCCACATGCCCAGAAGTGCTCCATCCCTAGAAGTGCTCCATCCCTAGAAGTGCTCCATCCCTAGAGGTGCCCCATCCCCAGAGGTGCTCCATCGCCAGAGGTGCTCCATCACTAGAGGTGCTCCATCCCTAGAGGTGCTCCATCCCTAGAGGTGTCCCATCCCTAGAGGTGCTCCATCCCCAGAGGTGCTCCATCGCCAGAGGTGCTCCATCCCTAGAGGTGTCCCATCCCTAGAGGTGCTCCATCCCCAGAGGTGCTCCATCACTAGAGGTGCTCCATCCCCAGAGGTGATCCATCACTAGAGGTGCTCCATCCCTAGAGGTGTCCCATCCTCAGAGGTGCCCCATCCCCAGAGGTACCCCATCCCCAGAGGTGCTCCATCCTCAGAGGTGCCCCATCCCTAGAGGTGCTCCATCCCCAGAGGTGCCCCATCCCTAGAGGTGCTCCATCCTTAGAGGTGCCCCATCCCTAGAGGTGCTCCATCCCCAGAGGTGCTCTATCCTCAGCCACTGCCCTGACTTCACCTCCTTTCACTCTGTCTAGTTTTCTCTGTATATCAGCTCCACCAGTCCCCTTCTATTCTTCTGAGAAAACCAGGCTTCTCCTTGGGATGAGGTAGGGTTTTCTCCCAGTCTATTTTTCTTTCAGACATGCCTTCAGCTCTTTCAGCATTTTACTCTGGTCCTAGAGAACCTCCCTGTCTCAGAGAAGCTTCCTTTAAGGCCTCACCCTGCTGCTTCTGCTTTGAATGCGTTTCAGTCACACCGATTTCCAATGCATGTTTAGGAGTTGCTTGAGTCCTTGAAGACTGGGACTCTATCTTAATCACGATTTCATCCCTCTTGCCTTACACGGTGTAGGAGGCAGGACAGTGACTTGCCCATATTTGGAACTGAGGAAGCTCATTCTTGTGTTATGTAGAGACCCAGGAGTAGTTATGGAGATGCCAGTCAGGAGACCAACTCTCTGTGCCAGTGGAGATGTGGTGAGGGACTGGCCCTGGCCTGTTCTTCTGTCTCCCCATGGGTGGAAGAATGCAGACTGACTTGGTGAGAGGTGCCTCCTATGTACCCAGGCTGGCCTGCCAGCCTCCCACAGGTTGTGGGAGCTCTTGGCTTCAGGCTGCTCACAGTCATCTCTGCTCATGGTCCCCATGCTTTAGCTGTCATCTCTGTCACCATGATATGTGCTGGAATGTTCTCTGGAGGTGTTTTAATTTTGTTTCTGATGCTGATGACATATTCTGGCAAAAAGCAACCTAGGGACAAAATTGTTTATTTTAGTTCTCAGAGAGAAGTAAATGCATACATGCTAACTTTGGCTTACCTTTTCCTACTCCTTTTTAACATTTATTAATATAAAAAGAAGTTTGCTTTTATGTGTATAGGTGTTTTCCCTGCATGTATGTCTGTGCAGCATGTGTACTCAGTGCCCGTGAAGCCAGGAGAGAGTGCTAGATTCCCTGGGGCTGGAGGTACAGTTGGTTGTGAGCTGCCGTGGGTGCTGGCAGTTGAACCCTGGTTCTCTTAACCCATGTAAGCCGATGCCCGTGACCGGGAGCCAGCTCTCCAGCCTCATGTTATCCCCACTCTAATACAGTCAGAATCCTGCTGCCTGTGATGGGCTTGCATTATTGTAATCAAGACGGTCCTCTTCCTGACAAACACGCCCACAGGCTGATCTGCTCTGGACACTCACTCAGCAGACTCTTTCTCCCCAGGTGATGGGAGAGTGCAGCAAGACCGCCATTGCAGGAACATGGCCTCGCCTCTGCTCCTGTCCTCTGTGCTCCAGTTGCACAGATCATGTTGTCTTTTCACTCCCATCTTTCTCTCTTAAACATTAGACACAATTTTTTTTTTCTAAACAGGTTTAGTTGTGGTGAAAGTGTAATACCCAGGCTCGCCCCTCCCTCACTGGACTCACTGCTAATGGACTAGTATGGACTGTTTATTGCTGTCTTTCTTGTCTTTTTTTTTTTTTTAATGTTATTTTTGGAGAATATACATATATCATTTCCTTTTCCCTTTTCTTTTTTTTAACCCCCATATTCCATCCTTGGTCTCTTTCAAGTTCTTAACCTTTTTTTTTTTCATTTATTGTTGTTTATGTGCATGTCTGTATATGCAGCTATATTCCTAAATGTGACCTGCGTAGTCTGTATGTTTCTTGTATGTGTGTTTTCAGGGCTGAGCCTTTGGTGTTAAAAAAGAACCAAAAACAGTGGGTGTACTTCTTCTGGAAGAAGACTGTTTCTCCTGCTGTCAGCATCCCTTACTTTTCTGTAGTTCTTTGTGTAGGGTTGAGGACTCATGGGCTTTCCTTGTCTGTGTTACGTGTCTGTTGTCCCTGTTCAGGTCATGTTTAGGCAGGCATGTTGGTGAAACTTTATGGATATAGCTTCTGATATTACATTGAGACACAGTCTCACAGAAACTCCCCGGCCCTCTCCCTCTTCCACAGTGTTCCCGAGCCTTATGTGTGGAGTGGCTTTTAATGTGACGTAGGGACTGGAGAACATTGCCTCATTCGGTTCCCTTTGTAGTAGCTGATGTAAATGATCTCCTGACACGTTGTGTGAATTGGAAGGCATTGTCTAGATTTGTCATTCCTTGGTGTGTGTTGATGTAGGGCTTGCTGGAACATTAGCAGTACTCACCTGGGCTCAGGCTGAGCGATCGACCATTCATTCCCCTCTCCCTTCCTTGTCTGGACATCCAGTGCCTACTCCTGAGGGAAATGTTGAAGAGAGACAGCGGATATGGAGTCTCCTGGCTTGGGGTGTGGGATGGGTTGATGTGGGCCCGTGTGTGTGTTGTCTGCAGTCTTAAGTGAGAGGAAGAGGGTGTGAGTGGCTGAAGAGGCATGGAGAGAGCCGGGCAGGATATGGCTTCTTTAGCTTTTGTATGTGGACGCCCAAGAGTGCCCTGGATCCATCTTTTCGCCCAAGTTGCTGTGTCTAAAGGTCACAAACTTAATGCCAAACTGTCTAGATGTGTAATGCTGCTGACAGGCCGTTTGCTCTGGTGGATGGCCCAGCCTGTAGATGTGTCTACAGCAGGGAAGTGGCAGTGAAGGCTGGAGGCTGCTCAGATGGTTGCCCTGTTTGTAGGAGCTCAGTTAGATGAGCAGTTACATACACAGCAGGTGTGATTGCAAAGTGTCACTTCACCGTGTATCACATTCTTCTGCTTGAGCCTGTCCACGTGACGGAAGCTAGGTTTGCAGACAGTTCTCACTGCCCTGTTGTTTTGTTAGATGTCTGATTACTTGTAGAGAGATTAATCTTCCTCTTCCATCAGTCCTGGCGAAGGATCCTGAGTCCTTTGGGCTCAGGCCCTCACTGGACCGTTTGTGTGTTGCAGTCTTGTTGGGTGGGGTAGGAGTTGGACAGGGCATGGACATGGCTGCGTAGAGCTCTCTTGTGTGGACCAGGTGGGCGCAGCTTCCTGGACAGGAAGCTGGAATGGGCCGACGGGTGGCACTGCAGGTCCGAGTCATTCCCATTTCATTTCACAGATGGCGCCCCTTCTACTCAGTCTTGTTCCATTTCTTACCTGGTGTTCTTGTCATTGTGACCCTGGTGCCTGGAACTGACTCAGATTCTTCCAGGTGAGGGACTGGTGTCACTTTCTGTCTTCTTGATTCTGCCTCAGGCCATACACTCTTGAGAAATAGTTACTGGCCTTTTAAGAAAAAAAAAAAAACAACCTACTGTTTATTTTATGTATATGGGTATTTTGTGTGTGTGTGTGTGTGTGTCTCTCTCTCTCTCTCTCTCTATATATATATATATATATATATATCTGTACTGCTTGCATGCTTAGTGTCCACGGAGGCCAGAAAAAGGCATCAGGTCCCCTGTCATTGGAGTTAGAGAGAGTTGTGGTTTGTGGATGCTGGGAATTGAACCTGGGTCCTCTGGGAAGAGCAGCCTGTGCTCTTAACCACTGAACTATCTCTCCAGCCTGAGTTTTTGGCTTTTATTTATATATTCCAAA